ACGTAAAAGGCTTTAAAAATAGTGATTTGATTCTAGGGCCATATACAGGGTGTCCCAAAAAAAAAGACACCGGCCGCATTTCTCTATTTTGGGTCCGATCAACTTGAAATTTTGCACAGAGGTAGCGAAGTCAATTTCCCATGAACACAGAAAGTTTCAGCCCCATCGGTCAGCGGATTTTAAAGTTATAACGAAAATACTTTTTATTTTTTATTTAATATGGGGATCCATGCAATTTGCATCAAAAATGTGCGTAATTTTGTCATTTACGAGCTGATTTTGCATAATTTTTGCCGAAAAAGGCCATTTGCAGTTTTGCGCTTCGTAAGAACGATTGCGCATGGGAAATAAAATACGCTGAAAACAGCAGCTTTTTGAGAACTCAAACACATTTTATTGAAGTTTTGGTCAGTTGGGCCTGCCTTGGACTCGACGCAGCGTTCGACCAGCTCCAAATTAATGCCTAAATCCAAATCGAGGCTTTAAATCTATGCGTAAGCCGAGAAATAAATTAAAACAACCGGTGAACGTATGTTACAATACTGGTTTCTTATATCTGACGGTTTTGTGGATCATCTTTATTTCCCATGCGCAATCGTTCTTACGAAGCGCAAAACTGCAAATGGCCTTTTTCGGCAAAAATTATGCAAAATCAGCTCGTAAATGACAAAATTACGCACATTTTTGATGCAAATTGCATGGATCCCCCTATTAAATAAAAAATAAAAGGTACTTTCGTTATAACTTTAAAATCTGCTGACCGATGGGGCTGAAACTTTCTGTGTTCATGGGAAATTGACTTCGCTACCTCTGTGCAAAATTTGAAGTTGATCGGATCCAAAATAGAGAAATGTGGCCGGTGTCTTTTATTTTGGGACACCCTGTAGAATAGCAGCGTTCCCCACCGCTAACAGAGAAATACCGTCTTTTAACCTACCTCCTCTCGTGGCGCATCAGTGACCCTAGGCTTCGGGGTGCTGGTGAAGACCCGAGCTGTCGGCCTTGCCGTCGTGCTAGCCCCGGAATTCACCCGGTTCGACGCCCACTCGTCGAGATCGTCGTTGACCTTCGGGTGGTGCTCCTTTTTCCGTTGTGGCGCTGAAACCACCTCGTTGTTTTCCGATGTTTTTTTGCTTTGCTGCCCTTGCTACGTTTCCGGCAAAACCTACAGAATTTTGGCAGCGGCTCCTCTGTCAACTTTTTGATGGTCGATATCCGAACGACGCCAATCTTGGCGGCAAAATCCAGCTGGGCGATGCAGCTCATCCGCGCATTCCGCACGCTACTGTTGACGGCATACAGGAAGGTGGACGTGGCGAAGGGACCCTGAACGGATCTTTAGTTATTTCTGGGGATCCTTACAGCCCGCTTTTCCTCGCCGATCAGCACCAACGGGCCGTCGGAAGCCACCGAATTCAGCTCGGCCGCCCCGCCGAATGGGTTCTCCAGCTGGCCACTGTCAGCTTTTACGGATTCTGGGCTAAAAAAGATGTTGGATCGTTATCGAGGGTTGACATATAGGGCATTAAGACCCCCCCACCCCCGTTAATAGCCCAGTACCAAAAGCCCTGTACTTACCGGAAGAGCAAATCGAAGAGACAAGCTGTCGTATAACTTCTGGATTGTCGATTCACCGTGACGAGCGAGTGACGAGACGAATCGCTGCCGATTACGAACGAGGAGGCGGGCTCTCTTGATTCTTTTCGGTCTAGAAATGGTTCGCTACGAGGTGCTACAAAATGACGTTATTTTTGAACCGTTTAGCCCGTTTAAATTAGCGATAAAGCTGATAACTAGCGTTAGCCCACCTTGCGAAAAGTGATCAAAAGTTACGGTGCTCAACAGTCGGAGCGTTCCGTTGCGCAACACCATCTGCTTGGCCGTCCATTGGCGCCCGGCGGAGTCGCCGTCGACGGCGTAGAGTACGTCCTGAAACGTATTTTTTTGGTTTTTTTAGGTTGACTAACTTTTCGGACCCTGAAGTAAACTGGCTCACCTGGAATGCAGTGTCGAGGAACGTCTGCGCCGAGTCGAGCCGGAAAGACTCGGAATGTGAGCAGACGAGGAAGCGAATTGAGGTGACTAGTGAGTATCTAAACGTACACGTAGTCACATTTAACCCATTTTTATACCTGAATACATGAGAACCAAAGAGGATCTCGGGAGGCGGGATGCTCACTTCAAGCGTGCAGAGGCGAGATGGGCCCTGAATTTGTAGTTTGTAGCCCTGTAACCTGTAGTCTGTAGTTGATACCTGTCGCATGAGCAGCAACAATGTGGTTGCCGAGAGGACATGGAGCTGGACGACCGACGGGGAGCAGTAACTGTTGCGAGGGTCTACCTAAAGGTCCTAGCTTGCTTGGTACTTTTGCATTTTCGGGGGGGGGGGGGATTTTCCTATCAGCCCAGAAAGGCCAAGTAATGTAATACAAAGTATTTAATAAGGTTTATATTAAAATTTAGCTAGAATTAAAGTCGAAAAACTTTCGAAAAACCTTACAAAGCATGAAATTCTGGTCGAAAATCGGTCATTTTTGGCGAAAATCTATATTTTTGTATTTCTAACAAAATTTGGGTATTTTTTACGTTTAAAAGTGTAAAAAACTATGTAGAAACAATTCCTCTATTTATTTTAGAAAAAGTGGTTACGAAAGTAAAAGCCCCCACCCCCGATAACGCATAAGAACCGACTTTTTGTACAAGCCCAAGATTTTTAACGTTGTTAAATTGAAAAGTTAAGTCTGTTCAGCCCACCTGAATCCCCCTCAAATAATCCAACTGGTAGGGCCGCACGAAGAAGAGCTGGCAGTCCTAAAGCTCGGGCTTCAGCCAAAAATTAAGCACCGACCTGGGTGAGCCCGTAGATAATGTAGTCGTCCTTCTCCGCGGTGCCGATCACGTCGCGGAATCGATTGGCCGCACAACTGGAAGGGGTACAACACCTTATTATGATCATAAAAAATGGGCTTACGTGCAGTTTAACCCCCCCCCCCCCCCCCCGCCCCGGGCCGCCCCCACCTACCGTATCTCGGCTCCCTGTTCATCTACAGGTGTGTAAAGTATACCAAAATACTCGCCAGAGCGAGACGAACATTTTGGTATACTTTACACACCTGTCGATGAACAGGGAGTCGAGATACAAAATTTGGGTGCCGGCTGGGGGGGGGGGGGGGGGGGGGTAAACTGCACTCTAACCAAAATGTTTTTACATGAAAAACAATAAATAAAGTGCCACCAACCCTGTAATGAGAGCATTTCCCTGCTCTATTAGTAGAATGCCGAAAAATAGCAGTAGATAGGCCACTTTCGTCCAGGCTGCCATCACGTGCCAAACATTGCAGGATTGGCGCTGCGTTCTAAATCATGAAAATATTCAGATAAATCGTTGAAAAAAGCACGAGGCATTAAAAGCGAAGAAGAACCATTTTGAAGAGCTGTCGGAACTCGCAAAAAACCATAAATATTCTAAAAAGCGGCCGTTCGTTTCGAAAAGCCGAACGGCAAGCCTATTGGACCCATTAATTCGGTATTCCTAATTTTATTAGCCCGGCGGCGCCGAACGTTTTCTAAAAAACGCGCCATTCGCTTCAAAGCGAGGGTCGGAATGCCAATTTTATGCGCGAGGAAGAACAGGATTAGCGGTTCTTTTGCCTTACCGGGGGGGATTTTTTACCTAAATGTTTAAGAATTCGAAATTTCGATCGAAAATCTAGTTTTTTTACAATTTTTTTCATCAGAATTTGGACAGCTATCTCTTTTATGCCAAAAACTACAGATTGAAAGCCTAAACTTTGGGTTTTTTTTTGTCAAATTCGTAAAATTTAAAGTGGAATTGAATCGCAATTTTTATAAAAAATTCAAGTTTGGTCGAAGCTGCGCATTTTTAATAATCGTAATAAAACAGCTGTAACATTTTTGCATTTAGCAATTTTTAGAATTAGAATTAAAAAAAGCAATTTTCTAAATACTTTGATGAAATGAAAATAAACCGTAAAAACAGTCTAGAGCAGGGTTGGTCACGCTGGATCCTATTCGGATCCGGTCCGGTCCGGGGGTCGGTCCGGTCCGGTCCGGTCCGAAATTTCCATCCGGACCGGACCGGACCGGACCGGACCGGACCTGTCCGGTCCGTGGCGGACCGAGGGGCTTTGATTTGCTAGGAGAAACGGAAATGCAACATGCAAATTCGGAATGCAAAAGAGTGGTGTACCAAAAAATGACGCAATGTGGAATTCGCTTAATGAAAATGTATAAAATTATTCCTCCCCCATTAATTTTTGGCTATATACGCGACGGCTAGTAGCCTAGATGTGGAAAAATATGTCAAATTCTTCGCGAGTAGTATTTTGCATACAAAAATTTACATATCTGGCTCCTGAATCATGCCCTTCGTGTTCAGAACGGACCGGACCGGTCCGATCCGGTCCGAAATTTCGGATCCACTCGGACCGATCCGGGCCGGACCGGACCGCGGACCGTCCGCGGACCGGATCCTTTGTGACCAACCCTGGTCTAGAGACACTTTCTCTATTTTTATGGGCCAGAAAAATTGGATACGAAAGAAAAATTTACCCCCCCCCCGATAGTGCAAAAGCACCCGTTTGTCAGCTAGCCAATTCTCGAAAGCAACAACGAAAATGCAAATTTGATCCCCGGAGGAACGGCTCGTCATCAGGAGGGCGGACAGGTGGGAGAGATGAGGGAGAGTGATGGGCCTGAAGGGCTTTTCCCGCAACCAGAAGCTGTGCAGGGGGGAATGCTGTCACAAAACGAGGCTATCATCGGCCTCTAGGGATTAGACGTCCAGTCGGGCGAACATTTCGAGATATACTACATAACAAGACGTATGCACAAATCAGTGGGTTCGCAGATACCGTAGAAAATGGGACTTTAGCATTATCGGGGGGACCAATTTTTTTCGCATAACTCCAAAAATGCCTAGATACGTAGTGGTAAGTATTTTAATAGCGTTTTAGTCAAAAAGTCAATCACTCATGAAAAGAATTGATTCCTCGATACACCCCCCCCGCTAGTGCAAAAGCACGGAAAATAGTTACTTTACGCCAAAATATTTTTAATAACCTATTAGAAAGTTTCTTGATAGTGTTTTTTGACCTAATCGAGCTATATTTCCAGCTAAAAATATCTCGAAAACTACGGCAATTGTTTAAAAGTTAGCTTTCTATAAAATATGAATGAATTCCAGGTGATGAGCCTCCCAATTTTACGAAAAAGCTAGAAACTACAAACTGAAATTTACAAGAAAATTGGCATCAGAGAAAAACCAATTTTTTGGAATAATACCCCGTTCGCTCGCCCTGCTTCCCAACCAGGTGCCCTGGCGGGGGAAATCCGGAAATGCCCAATTTTCCCCTCCGGCCATGACCTATGGACGGCCAAATAAGGGGGGAAGAGTGGAATGGATCATTGTGGAACGGAGTTCTTTGACTGGCTAGTGAATTCTAGTCCGGCCGTTAATACAAAAAAAAACAAAGTTGTCTAGCAGTTTTAGTGGTTCCTGATCCCAAAACGCTATGCCATTTTTAACAATCTGAAAAAACCCCAAAATTTTTGAGCATTTCGGGTTCTGGTTCGTTAGCGGGGGGGGGGGCGGGGAGGGGTTAATCAGGGGAAGGCCCAACTTTTCCTTGGGTTCAACTTGTCTAGTATGGATAGAGAAAGTGTTACTACACTATTTTTTACTTTTCTAAATGGCAAAAACTTTACAAATTTGTGAAAAAATACAAAATCAAGGTTTTGCAAGCAAAAACGGCCGATTTCGTGCAAAATTTCAAACTTTTACACGTTTTTAAGATATTTTTCCGTTTGAAATATAGTTAAATTCGACTAAAAATACTATTAAAATACTCCTAGTATATAACTGAGAATTTCTAGACTGGCACCAAGTTACGGCACAAAATGCCGATTTTCAAGTTTTTTTTGGCAGTTTTCCTCTTGAAATATCGCTAAATGAACTAAAACCCACTATTAAAATACTTACTACGATGCTATTAGATCTTCTGGAAACACAGAGAAATTCGATTCCCCCCCCCCCCGGTAATGCAAAAGCACCTAAAATCCAACCAAAAATCACAACGCCAAAAACAAGCGGCCGGGCGAGCACATTATAAGCGGCGTCTCCTCGGGCATGCCGCCGCGGGACCCTTCCCTCCGGAAGAAGCGCCGAATTGACAAATGGGTCTCGAGGAGAAGCAGCTAAAAAGCGGGGAGCCAAGAAAGGAGGCTAAAAGACACCTTTGAGAAGATGCATCCCCGGGATTACCCCCCTGAAAGCATCTCCACCCACACCCCCGCACCCCCACGAAAAGCCCTTATTATTTGTCGGGTATTTACAAAGAAATAGGGATTGTATTCAAAATATATGTTTCATCGATTTAAAATTATGGAACAACTAAAATTTAGGTTCTTTTGCGTTATCGGGGGGGGGGGGGCTTTTGGATGAGATCAAATTTCTTCTGAAGAAACAGATAATAGATAAGTTTTTCTGGACTATCGAAAACTTATTTTTTGAAGTTTGGTTATTTCTTGCTTTTCAGTTCTTTTCCATTATCGGGGGAGGTTTTCAAAAATCAAGCACATTTAAGGCATTTTTGTAACTTTTGACTAGATAGGATCCTTCTAGATAGGATCTTTTATCGAAAAATCGCGAAAATCTGATTTAAAATCCACCAATTTTTTTTATTTTAATAAAAAATTATTTTGAAAATCCAGAAAAAAGAACAGCGCGGGACCCCGGGGAAATCCGTGGAACGGCCATCTCGAACCGATAAATCTTCTCCAAAGGGCTTACCGGAGACCCGTTTTTTTGTGAGGCCGCGCACTTTTGGAGCAGGGCTTTAGGCGAAGAGCTTAAGTTAGGAACAAAAAGAAAAAGCTGAATTTTATTTTAAGGTTCTCAAGAATTTTTGGCGGAACGGATTTCTGAATTTAGGAAAAGGTAATTTCGACAATGCGCACGTTTATGTATTAGGTTGGAACATAAGTTCGCGCAATCGAACATTGGAAATTTCTTTCTGAAAATTTAGCGGCCAGATTCCGATGTTCCCTCTTTGCATTTCTCTATTGGGTTCATGAGTATGTGGGATCAAAATTACAGGTTTTTAGCCCCAGTAGTTTTTAAGATTTTTGCGTTTCTCTCGAGTGCACTTCAAATTTTTGACCCGGACGTCTTTCCGAACCGCCATAAAGTCACCATAGAAATTGATCATCAATATGAGAATAAGTTGATCTACTGGCTGCATGCCGAATTAGCCTAAAAAGGACGCCAATTTTGTTTTGTATAGGCGGGCCGAAGCGATTTTTCGTTTTCGCTTAAATCTAGCTTTAAAAAATTCTAATAGGGAAACAACGCGATTCCGTCCCACACATCGAATAGAGAATTTTATTGCATATCCGGTCATCCAAAAAAGATTTTGGTTCTTGCCCGTTTTCCGGTCCGAAAATTACAAAGAAAGAAAAATATTGCACGAACTTTAGTTCCAACCTAATACATAATGCCTAAACTTCATGATGCCGAAATATCATTACGTCGAAATTTCGTGATGTCGGATTCATAATTTCGGAATTCCTGCTATCGACATTCATATTATAGCAACTATAATGTCGAAATCTCATAAGACCGACGATTCATACTGTCAAAACGTACATATAATTTCGATGTCCAGAATACTGCACTCGATAATGCCGAAAATCCATAATGTCGAAATTTGGGCATTCTGAATGTTGACCTCTTCAAAATAATCCATCTCGGCTATTTCCAGAACAACAAAGTTTTCCTTTCCTTCACCAACTTATGAATTTTCTGCCAAGTTTTTCAGCGAGAGCTATAAGAAAGGAAGCCCCCAGCAGCTAGGGGCATAAAAAATGGATTGTTCGGCGACAAAAAGGTGCCCAAATTTTCATATTCTTGAGCGGGGAGTAGGAGGGGAGGGAGGGGGGAGGAGGGCCCTGGAGGGCCCCCTCCACCTCCCTCTCAAAAGGTGCGTCGCGGAATTTGATTTTTTTTCGTGCTCACCCCTGGGGGGAATAAGCATCTGGATGCGGCCGCGGGGTTGATAACTAACGTGCGTAAGGGAGCATCGAGTGTACAACAAGGTACTACGAAAGATACAGCGGAAACGGTTCTTATACACTATCGGGGGGGTAGCTTTTACTTGAACTCTTTTTTCTAAAATAAATTGTCTGATACACTGCTTTTTACTGTCCCTAAAAGTAAGCAGTTTACAAATTTAGGTACTTTCGCATTAAGGGGAAACCGACTTTTTCTAGTCTTCTATTTTTCTAATACAACACCTTGCCCGGATTTCAATAATTTCTTTTAAGCTCGTTTTAATACGATTAAACGAAAAAACTTTACAACTTTTTACGAAAAAATTATAAATGGGGATTGTTTGACGAAAAAAAATTGCTTTTCAAAATTAAAATTTGATAAGGATTTTTTAGCTAGTTTTAACATTAAAATGTTTACGTACTAGTCTACTAGGCGTATTGGGACTCGTTCTCAAAAAATTAGGTTCTTTGGCATTATCGGGGGGGGGGAGAGCCGAATTTTTTGTCGTACTTAGAAATGCCTATTAACGTAACAGTAAGTATTTTAATAGTTTTTCTTAATATTTACCTAAATTTCAGGTGGAAAGCCCCCAAAAAAATAGACAATTTTGAAACCTGGTCGAAAAATCGGGTCTTATTGTAATTTTAATGCAAATTTTGTGAATTTTTACGCCGTGATTAGAAAAATTCCATTCACCCCGATAACGACACAGAACCGTAAAACCTGCGGTTAAAAAGGAAAAGCATCCGGAAAATTTAGATGCAAAACCCACAAAAAAAACGGGCGCACGAGATAAAAACGGCTAATTCGTTTAGGCAGCCGGCCGATATGCGGGGGGAGAAGCGGACAAAAAGCCTGGAGGGCAGAAGCAGGATTGGCCCCTTGGGGGTGGAATGGAATTATGCAAACACAATGGGAACGGCCCCCCGACATCCCAACAAAAACCCCCCGCTTCAAATATATGCCCTTTTACGGGTGCGGCGTCCACTTGTGGTGAAAATTAACAATAACATATTGACAATAAGTAAAAAAAAAACCAAAAAAAATAGCATAGCGCGAAATGTAAGAAGGGGCAAATCATGCTTTATCTTTATTCTCCAGTTTTTTCTAATATAAAAAGAGGAAATGTTGTTAAACCGTACGCAGGTTATACAATTTCCTAGTAAAAATATAAAATATATCGATCGTAGGACCAAAACTGACCATTTTCGACAAAGTTTTGAATTGCAAAGTAACCGTAAAGCTCGGCCAAAACCCAAGCCCCCCCCCCCCCGATAATGCAAAAGCTCCTTTTGGCAGCATCGGAGGTGAGGGGGTTTTTCCGAAATATGTTAATGATCTTGATGGTGGATCTAGTGCTGCCCCCTCCCCCCGATAATACACAAGAACCGAAAAGAAATAACCAAACTATTGCGGCAATTCCTACCACGCGTCTGCACGGTCTATTACGGAAAGAAAGCCGTCCGGCTTCTCCACTGGAGTCTCCCGCTCTCTGGCGCAAAACAAAGCTTTTTGAGGCCGACAGAGCTGTGCTTGGTGTGTTTGGGGCGGGCTTCATCGTGTATTCCCGTTGGCTGGACGGCGCCGTGGCTTCCGCTCTTCTGCTAGGCGCGCAAAAATGGCCGAGCAGCTGGAGCGAATGATGCGAATTAGCAAAAACAGATTCGCGGCAAAAAATTCTAATTCCAATTCCAGAACACCACAAGGTTTTTATGGGTTTAATTACTTGCTACATCTAGATCTAGCTAGATCTTAGTTCAAGAATATATTATCTTACGCGAGAATTCCTTTAATCCATTTTTCTCGGAGCTTGCGTATTATCGGGGAGCATTTCAATAAACTTCCAATTTTTCTAAGAAAATTTTCAAAAATAGGATCCTATTTGCTAATATAAATAAAGAAATTGTTTCTAAGCTCCATTTTTTTGCTATTTATAGCGTAGAAACTTTACAAATTCGGTTAAAAAGCCCAAAAATAGCCCAACTCATCCCGTCCAAAATTTTGGATTTAAAATGTTTCAATATTTGTAGAAAATTTTCTGACCCGAAAAGTCGGCTAAGCTTTATAGGAAATAATATTAATAATGGTGCAAAAATTCCTACCCCCCGATATTGCAAAAGAACCTTTTTATCTATTTCGAAAAATTTCGAGGAGGCCCATCAGCTTATTTACTAGAATTTAGACACTTTAGAGCTTAGTAATTTTTTCATGTAAAAACTACTATTTATCGACCAATGTTTTATTCAAAAACACAATCACAAAAATGAATACATTTCCAGTGGGTGAATCGAGCCTGAAAAACGTCGAGCTGTTGGGGGGCAGAGGTCGCGGCTGACTGGGTGGCCCGGGTCACATTATACGAGGAAATCGAGCGGATAAAATATGAAAATTGATATGGGCCGGGCGGGACCCGAAAGAATGCGATAGAAAGAATACCCGCACATCCACAAATATCAGAGCACAACGCGAAAATAGGTATTTTCAGCTGGAAAATGGCCAAAGGATTGAAAAGTCCAGAATTCCAGTCAAAATCACGAAAATACCGACAGGCAAAACAGCCAAAATACCGAAAGCCAAAATCCCGACATTCAAAATACCGACATTTATAATACCGACAGGTCAAAATCCGGAAAGCCAAAGCCTGGACAGCGAAAATACCGACATCGATATCAACGATGGGCGAAAATCCCGACAGCTACAGTAGGAAAGCTCAAAATACAGACAGCTATGATACCGGGAGCGATAATACCGACACCTATAATACCGACAGCCAAAATCCCGACATATTCCTGGTTTTTAAACAGCTATTTTCCTTGTCGGTATTTCCGCCGACGGGATCTTGGTTGTCGGGATTTTGTCCTGTCGGAACTTTGGCTTGCCTCTGTCTGTCGGGATTATTGCCGCCGGGATTCTGGAAGTCAAAATTTTGGCTGCCAAAATGTTGCGATTCAAGACTGTCGGGATTTGAACTTTCGGGATTTTGTTTGTCGGCATTTTGGCGTTTCCCCCAGTTCATATACTATGCCTTAACAAATTTCGATACGTTTTGGCTAAAGTGCAACGCGATTCGGTAGTTGTCGGGCAGTTTCCCCAGCATTCCGCTAGTTTTCAAGCTGTCGATTCGTCGCTTGTGATCGGCCATCTGGACGAGCCTGCGCTTCTCGAGCAACTTCCACTTGTCGGTATCCGATAGGGTGGCGCTGAAAGGGGGGTATTCAAACGTAGAAATTTCTGATGCTTAAAAATTTCGTACCCATCCACAAATCTCCAGCGTGCGACGTCTTCCGGCTTGCGACAAGGCTGGGAAAAGATTTGCTGGTCGGTGAAGCGGAAATTCCATTCATTTCCGATTTTCCTAAATGGTGTGTGTTTTTATAGCGTTTTTATTAAAACTTATCGATGCGGCAAGTGTCGCGATTTTTAAAATCTAGCTAAACGGTTTATAACCGGAAATTCAGGCGATATCTGGTCTTAATACGGTATTTTTCAGATTTTTAGTGGCAGTTTGTGAAGTTTTTTTGCAGTTAGTTCTATGGTGGAAAATTCAACCCACGTTCGCTTCCATCCGTGAAAGAAGAAATCGTCGAGCGACCATTTATTGTCCGTCAGCCATCCGTCACGCACCCACGCGCGGCCCTAAAATTTCCTCTAGTTTTAGGTAGTAATTCGATACTTTTTCGTAGATATGGTATTCTGTGGAGGCGGCGACCGACAGAATATATTCCTGCACGCAGGCCTGATAGTTGAAAAGACCCTCGTAATTCCTGAAAAATGCTTTGCTTCTGAGTTTATTAGGGGAAACGCGAAAATCCCGACAGCCATAATCCCGATATGCCAAAATGCCGACAGTCGTAATCGACATACCGGAATACCGACAGCTATAATCCCGACATTTCAAAATGCCGACAGCCATAACATCTACATAGCAAAATGCCGACAACTATAATCCCCACATTCCAAAAAACCGAGAGCCAAAAAAGCTGTTTAAAACGAAGTGGTATCGAAACCAGCGTCACGGATATGTCGTTATCATGACTGTCGGCATTTTTTTGCTGGAATTCGCTAATATTAGCCGGATTCTTTGGCACTAACGGGGGTGAAGGGTTTTCAAGCCTGTAATGTTCTCGATTTTCGCTTACTTTGATGCAGCCCAAATCGCCTCGCAAACTTGTCGACTTTCGTATAACTCGGGGTGGAAGTATTCGACGATAACGTTCTGAATTTTAAAATATGCATAATTAAACTACACTAATTAAATTAATAAAACTAATTAAACTATACTCACGTTTATGGCCCCGTTATCGGTCCCAAAATACGGATGCTCTTGGTAGTAGTTGGCCCAAAAATGGAGGAAACCAAGGCCCCGTTGTGAATTCCTGGAATCATGATGGTGACATGCTAAAATGTGCCCCAATTACCGTACGATATAACTGCCGCTGGCCACCTCGTCGTTGTAGAAACGATTGTAGAAGACGAGATGGAGGTCCTCGGTTAATGTATAGTTTTCGAGACGGTGCAGCGGGTTGACGACGCCTGAAAAAAGGTAATTCTTATGAACTAAAATTCGTGAATTTTTAGTTCTAGTTCATTAGCGGGGGGGGGGGCTAACTTGGTTTCAGCCTCACTTTCATAAACTAGTGCTATAAACAGTTTTCAAATGTTAAAAAGTGGGAAAACATTTTTTATAAATTCGATGTATTCGCTTTTTGATGAATTTCAAAAAATTTTGACCAAAAATTCGAATTTTAAAAGGTTGCTATGAACTTTTTCTATGTAAAAAGCTGTAAAAGGTTATTAAAATAATTGATATTTAATTATAGGGTAAAAATGGTTTAGCTCCCCCGCTAACGAACCAGAACCTATTTTGAGGGGTAAACTAGCATAGTTCCTTGGGGAAAACACGGCTTTTAAAACCTCAAAAACCGCCCTACCAATATCCGCATCGAGAAACAGGGCCCATCCATATTGGCTGGCCGCCAAAAACTCGGCCAGCGCGCAGTGACGCCGGAACATGAACTAAAAAAATTTCGCGCTATTACATTATCGGGGGGAGGCAAATTTTTTTGTAGAAGTCCAATTATGCCTAATAACTTAATTAAAGCTATTTAATCGTGCTTTTAAAAAATTTAACTATATTTCAAGGCCAAAAACGCGCTGCAAACTTTGAAAATGGTAGTTTTTCGGTAAAAAATCTAAATTTTTGTAGATTGGATATAAATATGGTGCCCCATGATAACCTCTGCGCCCCCCGGTAATGCCATAGCACCAAAAAATGCTGGATCATGGCAAAGATGCGGAAACCTAACAACTGACGTCTTTTTGCGGGCATTTCGGGACCAAATCGGGTTCCTCGGCCAAGTTGAGCACTTGCATCGCGTATCCTTGCAAATTTGCATAGCAACTGATCGAGCCGAGCTGAAAAGGGGTTGAGAATAATTCTTTAAGACGAAGACCTACCGCAAATTCATATTCCTCGGAATTTCGTGAATTCTCGACGACCACGACGATGATAAAGGCGTCCGACAGGGGTACGGGATTCGAGGCTCGATCTCCTGTATATTTTTGTTTGGATTCCAGCACCCGGAAGTAGCGAATTATTTTCAAAATGTCGAAAATCATAACGTCGAAATTCATTATGACGAAATTTCATAATATCGAAATTTAATAGCGTCGAAATACAGAATGTCGAAATTTACATAGGCTAATATGTAAATCCCCCCGAATCCATGCAAAAAAAGTTCGACATTTTGAATTTCGATATTGTGAAATTTCGACATTTTGATTTTCGACATTATGATTTTCGGCATTATGATGGCAATTCCGAAGTAGTACCTCTCGTCCGCAATAAAAATGGATGACCTTCTGCGCCTCTAGAGCTGGCAAAGGAGGAGCCGTAGTTGATGACAACATATAGGAAGCAAATGCCTGCGCCCAGTGCCACCCAAAACACCCGGCGCCGCATCTGTCAACGCAATCGCATGTTTTCTGCAAATTTTAGAAAAATTTCTATACAAGAAAATCACGTCAATAAATGAAGTATTTTCGTATTTTTACACAAAGAAGCGGACACGAATTTTTTCAAAAACCACAAATCGGATGAGAATTTTTATTCAGGAGCTTGTAAAACTGTTATCCGGCGTCGTAGAAGAATTTCAAGTACACCGAAAAATGCGCATTTTTACGGACTACCAACCCTACTAGTCGCGTTTGCATCTACTTGCAAGGTCGCCGAGAAAACGGCTAAAGTCTTGATTCCCCTATCGCTTTGGTACGCACTCTATATTTCAACTGGAAACCTACCTGAAAACTTTAAAAATTCGACATTTTGGGCGAAAAATAGATTTTTCGTATCTTTTAAAAAAATTTGTAAAGTTAAATGTTAATACTTTTCGGCATAGCAAAAAAAACGTTTTAGAAACAATGTATCTATTTTTATTCAAAAAATTGGATGTTGCTAAAAAGTTGCGCCCCCTCCCGTTAATGAAAAAGCACCAGAATTGCTATCAGAATGTCGACATTTCATAATGTCGAAATTTCGATCTGTCGAAACTCTTTGGATGGGATTTCTGTGGTTTTCTGGGATATTTGCTTATGTAAATTTCGGCATTACGAAATTTCGGCATTAATGAATTTTGATATTAAGAAATTTCGGCATTATGAAACTGCACAAATTTTGGCACTCTTAAAGTAACCCGAATTATATATATTTTTTATTAATATTAAGACAGTAGTTACGCTAGGAAAAATCAAGGTGAAAGTGAAGCATCGCCAAAAAGGAATAGCCAGATACGGATCAAAGTAGAGCGCCATGGCAATGGAGCGTGAGGCGGGGGGGGGGGGGGGGGCGAGAGCGCGCGCGGCCAGTGAATGCAGTAATTGAAGCCATATATCCGTTATAGCAGCTCTCCAGGATTCCCCCGGCAACCGTTCACCCTTCCCCATTCATTCGTCAACAACAAATTGTCGCGTGCCCCCCGCGCGACTACACACAATTTTCCGAGTCGGATTTACGGTTTTACGCGCGCAGGTATACCTGTAAACCGGGGCTTAAAATGGAGGTCGGGGGAAAGCGCAAAAACGAATGGTACCGGCGGGTAAATTTGAAAATTGTGTGGTAAATCGCATTTTTCATAGTTTTAGAAGTTTAAAAATACCGTGAAAGTTCGGATCTTTTTTCATTATAGGGGGGTTGTGTGGTCAATGCTTTTTTATAAGTCCCGAAATGCCTAGAAACGTAAATTAAGGAGTTTCATAATGTTTTTAGTAAAATTTAACTATATTTCAGGCGGTGAAACTTTCCAAAAAATTAAACATTTTCTAAAGATGCAAATTTTTCGTTGAAAATCATTCATTTTGGCTGTAAATGTGGAAATTGATTGGCAAAAGGTATTTTTGAGAGCTTTAGAAAGAATAAAAATTTTTGGGTGCTAACAATCGGCCGTACTGCCACGAATCGGGGGCGATTTTTGGCGGAGTCGTCGCGCCATCGCGTCAAAATATATTCGGCGGCTGACCGGTATTCGTCATGGCAGCTGAAGGAATACGAATTTTAGCGATTTTTCTAAATTTTCCAACAGTTTCCTGAACTATTGGTACGCTGGGGATTTTTGGCTGTCGGCATTTTGGTTGTCGGTATTTTCGCTGTCGGTATTTTGACTTTGATATTTTGAACTGTCGGCATTTTGACTCTCACGGTTATGGCTCTCGGGATTCTGGCTGTCGGTATTATGGCCATTGTTGGCGGCTTTTTCTGTCGGTATTTCGACTGTCCGGATTTTTTCTGTCGTGATTATGGCTGTCGGTATTTTGGTTGTGTGTATTTTCGCTGTCGGTATTTTGGCCAAAATTCCTTGTATACCTGATGTATTCAACGTTAATCCCGCGACTTTACTCAAACCAACAATTTACGAGCCGTGTGCGCTACATTGTGAGATCATCATTATTGCATTGAGGGGAAACGACGAGATAGGCAGAGGAGCAGAGAAACAGAGAGACAGAGAAGAGTGATGGAAAGTGTATTGCTTCGGAATCTGGGTACGAATCGAGTTGTGGGGGTTATGGCTGCTGTGGCTGGCGGTCCTTCAGATATGTTGGGAAGGAGTATTTCGCATTTTTCGGGTACAACGGAGGGCTATTGACGATGCGGGCGGCGCACTGAGTCGCCTCGTCGGCCAGCAGCTGAAATACGGGTTTCTTACTTTTTTCGAAAACTCAAAAAATGTCGGATTGGGAATTTGGTCGAAATCGAGATTCTGGTTCGGGAAAATCGTAATTTTTATTTTTTTCGGTAACCGGCGGCTTACCAGAATCTGACGCTGTAGCTTCTGAATCTCGCGTAGTCGATCAAGGGCCGTCACCGGCTCGCAAGGGTCATCGCTGAAATTAAAATAAATAAAATTAGGAATTTACACAACCCCTAACAATACTTTGTAAGAAAAGCTACAGCGAGTACCTTAAATAATAGCTTTTTTGAGAAAAAGTCATCTAAATTGAAGGGAGTAACTATTTGTAAAACTTAGAAAATGTCTACAAATCTCGATTTCATCGAAAATCAGCATTTTTGGTAGAAAAATATAGATTTTTCAGTGGTTTTTATCAATTAAAAAATTTGGATGACATTTAGCTTAAGTATTCGAAAAACGGTGTAGAAAAACTTTTTTTGTTACGATTAGCGGAGGTTGACTTATCGACACAAGCCCCCGAAATGCGAAAGCACCCGACAACCTTATATCGTCATTCGGAGCCGATCGTAGTGTACGACTTAACAGCGAAAAACGTTAAAAACCGAACGTGCTACTTCTTTTGTTTACAAAGAACTTATTCAAAGCACTTTAGTCTGTAAATCTAGGCGACATCTAAGCTACTAAATCTGCGCACGACGTCGGCAAGTCAAAACAACGTACAGCGGGCTCCACTGGGGCCGGGCGGGCGCACGCTTTTGCCAATTGTCCGTGAACGTCATCTGCCCCATCACCACTCCGAAGAGCACCACCATCAAAGCCAATTGGCAACCACCAGTCGACAGCATTTTTTTCTATTTGCACCAAGATGAGGGCCCGGCGAGGTGAGGCTGAAAATGAGTGCTGAAAAGTAGCCAAAAACCCCCGAAAAGTGTGAAGCAAACGACTTCCGAATGGCGTTAGTTAAATCGAGGATAGAAACTGGAAATAATTAAGGATTAATAAATTATGAATTGTTATAAAAAATGAAAAAATAAATAAAAAATACTCAAAACTAGCCATTAAAGGACCGCAGAAAGTGAAAAGAAAAAGATTTTCATCGTTTTTAATATGTTTGGATTGCTAAAAAGCTTACAGTCTTTCAAAAAATTAAAAGGTTTACGTTTACTCCTCATTTTTCAAGAAAAAGTAAATGTTTGACAACTTGAATAATTTTTTGCAAATTTTATATCTAAAAGGCCGTAAAACTATTAAAAAGTTGAGAATTTGGATTCAGCGATGGGATATTAGAAGAAGATGCAAAATCCCCCCCGATACCACACCAGTACCCGAGAACTTCCCACGCCGAAAATTGGGACCCCGAGGATACCTGGAGGGATTACGGTAATGAGCCAAGGGGCCCCCGCAGGCCACAAAAGGCACAAAGGGCCCACCGGGGCCCACAAGTAATTGGCCAGGAGGCCCTCCCCCCACAGCAATCCCCATTTTTTGGCCACGATCATCAATCTGCATCACCGGATTTATGAGGATCAAATACCGGGGATAAGCGCCCCAAAAAAGGCCAAATTTATTGGCGCGGGCAGGTGGCGCGGAAAGAACAGGGTTTTCTGGTTGGATTAACACCTTAAAAATGCAATTTATGACAACGAGTTGGTACAGGCAAAGGTCGCAAAATAGGAAACAACCAAACATAACCGGTTTTCGGTTTTAATAGGGGTAATTAGGTTTTCAATAGGCGAAAAATTGCTCCGCTAATTGTTATAGAAAATCACGCAGTTTTTATTTGGGAGATTTTCGAGAAAATACTGCCCACGCACAGTATAGAAACGTTTTTTGGAGCCCATCGTAGTTTCGTGAAAAAGTCAAGAAATTCCTACTTGCAAGTACCGCACAAAATAGCGCGTACGGCGTACTTTATTATCGTTGTCCATCAAGGCTAAATCGTAAACTCTAAGAAATGCTGAAAATTCGGTGCTTTGGCGTTATCGTGGGAAAACTCAAATATAAATTGAGGAAGTGTTCCTACCTTTTTTATTTCAAGCGTAAACAATTTGCAATTTATCCAGGAAATTAAAAAAATATCGATTTCCCGACGAAAAATGGCGGATTTTCTACCAAAATTTTAATTTTTTTTGAAAGCTTTCGATAGCTTTCCCGCCTGAAAATGGGTTACATTTATAGAAACACCAGACATGGCGAATCGGCCCGGCCGATGGGCTTTTCGGCGGCGAAAAATTAGAATGCGGCCGGACGAAATCGGCCGGCCGCCATTTCCGGTCGGCCGCGGCTGTTTTCAAAACACAACTAAAACACTACAGGGTGTCCCAAAAAAAAAACCCCCTTTTGGACATAAAATGTAAATAAAGGGCTATTAAATTCAGCCCTCCTTGTTTTCTCGCCTTTTCTGAGCTTTCGATAGATACCTAAATCGTAAAAATCGGAATC